CCTGTGGTACCACCTCCTGCAGCACCAGAGTCCACGGCAGCAGGTTGCAGCGGTGGTGAAGACGGTCGAGGCGGAAACCCAAGAGGGACAGCCAAGCGTGCAGAGCGGCAAGGGGTCACTGTGGCAGCAGGATTCGGGTCACCCCCCTCAGCTGGGCCAGAGGTGTCTGAAGAGACCTCCAAAGGATCAACCAAGGGGGGTGGGTCTACCTGAGACACACCTGAGGGAGCGGGACCGTGAGGAGGGAGGGGGGCTACCGGGGGGGGGTCGTCCACCAGGGTGAGAGGCGGGAGGGGTACCGGGGAACTGCGGTGGGGGTGAAAGACGGTAGAAGCAGATGGACTCGTCAAAGGTGACGTCGCGGGAGGACAGCACACGACGAGAGCCCGGGTGGTAAAACTGCCAGGGCGGTGCGTCGGTGGGAAAGCCAAGGAACACGCACCGAAGAGTGCGTGGAGAGAGCTTGCCCGCAGGCAAGTCGCGGACAAGAGAGAGGGAACCCCAGACTCGAAACGCCGACGCATCACCAACCTCGCCCGTCCACCGCAAAGTGGGGGAGGTCTCCGGGTGGGAGACACGGGGCCAGAGGTTGAGCTGCTCAGCGGCGTATCGGACCACAAACGGCCACAGAAAGTGGGGAGCAACCGCATGGATCATGGAGGTGCGAGCAACCTCCATGACAAGACCAATGCGGCGCTCAGCAATCCCATTCTGCTGTGGAGAGGCCGGAAGCGTGTACGTCTGGCGGATGCCCTCAGCACCACAGAAGTCCTCAAGGAGGTGGGAGCAAAACTCACCACCTCGGTCAGAGTGCAGCCGCAGGCCAGGGAGGTCCTCACGGAACCGAGCACGAAGCTGGAGATGAACAGCGCGGATCCAGCGGATCAACACACCGCGGACATCCGCCTTGCTCTGTAAGGGGAAGACCGTGGTGTAGCGCGTGTAGTCGTCGACCACCAGCAAAAAGTAGCGCTCGCCACCCTGTCCAGTGACGCGGGCGGGGCCCCACACGTCCATGTGCAGGGTCTGCAGAGGAGCCGTGGTAGGAGGAAACGAGGAGGAGTGAGGAGCGGCGCGCTGCCGCCCCTCGACGCAGGGAAGGCAGGGCGGCGCAAGCGACCTCGGGAGCGGGGGCAGGGACCTGGGGAGACCAGACACAAGGAGACGCGAGTGCATGCCACGCAGGCGTGGCAGGGAGGGGTGACCAAGACGGTGGTGCTAGAGGAGAGTCTGGTGCGTGAGGAGACGACATGAACAAGACGAGGCGACCTCAACCGACGCAGCTACCTGACCTGACTCAGCTACCAGTGCAGACTCAGTGGTCAGTGTGTACAGGCCAGACCCAGGCCTCCGAGTGAACGTGGCGAGGTGCTCACCAGTGCGCGAGTCCGTACAAATCGCCACTAGCTCGCCTCCAGGCTGGGTCACAGTGACCCACTGGTCCTGGAGGACAGAGGTAGCCACCAAGTTCTTAGCGAACGAGGGGAGGTGGAGACCTGTGAGGAGGCCGGAAGGGGCCGCCGGACAAGGGAGAACAGTGGCGCCACGCGCAACTACCGGGCCCCCAGAGGGGTCGGCCAGTGTGACAGGGACAGGGACTGTGAGCGGTGTGACTGTGGTACTGTCGCAGAAGAAGCAACGAGACGCGCCTGAGTCGAGAGTAAAAGTGTGCAAGGCCTCCTCAGGCTCTGCACCTGTGCTAGCTGAGTCAACGGCACCAAGACTAGCAGCCTCTACCCTAGCATCTCTAGGCACACACAAGTAACAGTCCTCCTCAATACTAGCATTAGCAGCATACATCGTTTACATGCCAGCATGGATCAAGTCCCAATCACAAGTAAAGACATCAATGTCCTTCTTCAGCAAAGCTAACCAGTCTAGAGTCTTCATCTGCTCACCATGCTCCGCACGATACAGGTCGTCGAGGCGAAAGAAGCAGCGAGGCTCCGCGTGGTCAGTGCGGGTGCAAGCCACGCCAGGCTGACCTGTGCGACGGATGTACCCACAGCGAGCTGGGCTACCCGAGCTGCCACGCCTGATCGCCCACTCACGAAGCTGCTGCGGCGATAGCTGCAGCTGTCCACCCCCAGAGCCGCCTCCACCACCGGCTGCACCACCAGACGTAGCAGTGCGCGTAGTCGAGCCTCCAGCTCCACCCCCTCCAGTAGTACCCCTAGTGCCACCCCCACCCCCGCCACCTCCCCCACTGCTCCCTCCACCCCCTCCTCCTCCCCTGCCGCCTCCACCTCCTCCTCCCCCACCACCGCCACCGCCACCGCCACCACCCCCGCTGCCCCCGCCACCCCCACCCTTGCCACCCTTGCCCTTGCCGCTGCGGTGCTTCCCACTAGGAGCAGAAGAAGCACCGACCTCCTCAGCACCGAAGAGGTCAACAGCAGCAGCAGAGGCAACAGACGACGCGAGCAGGGAGGGGAAGCACCCCTCAAAGACAGAGGGGTGGGGAGTGCCACAAAGTGGCAGCGACAACTAGGGCAGCAGACTCCGCCTCCAAGAGACGGGACTCGAACGTGTCGAGGGTGATCTTCGTGGGGTCTAGGGCGAGGAAGTGGTCGCGTACAGCACGAAGGGAGTCAGGGAGGCGGGTCGTGAGAAAGTAAAGGGTGAGATAAATGGGTGGCTTGTTCTCAGCCCTAAAAGCGGGCTCGAGGGCGGCAGCGTAGCGGGTCTCAAGGGAGCGCAGGTGAGTCATGAGGTCGGCTACAGTGGAGAACTCCGACAGCTCGGGAAAGAGGAACGGCAGCGCTAGACGGCCTACAGTGGCAGACGACGGGGACGAGTAGCGTGTGACTACAGCGTCGTAAAGCACCTTGGCCGACTTAAGCTGGCGAAAGTGAGAGCGCTGGTCTAGCGGAAGGTGGCTACGGACAGAAAGAGCAGCAGTAGCGTCACGAGACGCCCACCTGGACTGGTCTACACGAGTAGCTGTGGCAGCAGGGGCGGTTAGGGTCCCAGAGGTATGCTCAAACAGCGAGACATCCTCCCTAGTCTGGCTCTACAGGTACAGGTGGAGATCCTCTAACCAGGATTCGAAGTCTACCGGGTGACCCTCTCCGTCAAAGGTGAGAACAGTAGGGGTCGCCATAGCAGTAGAACATTAGTAGCAGCAGCTGCACTAGCAGTAGCAGCAGCAAGAGCAGCAGCAGCAGCAGTAAGGCAGTGCACCTCTGTAGGGACAGTGCGGCGCGGCTCGGGCAGGGCGGCGCGGCTCGGGCAGGGCGGCGCGGCGCGGCGCGGTCTGGGCAGGGCGGCGCAGCGCGGCGCGGCTCAGTGCAGCAGTGCGTGCAGCAGCAGCAGCTCAGGCGCAGCAGCAGCAGCAGCAGCGCAGTGCGAGCGGCAGCAGCAGATCAGGCGCAGCAGCAGCTCTGGCGCAGCAGCGTCGCAGCAGCAGCGCGGTGGGCAGGAGCTGCGCAGCAGCAGCAGCGAGTGCAGGAGCAGCAGCAGCGCGGGGCAGGGCACAGCGCAGCAGCGCGTGTGGCAGCAGTGGCTCAGGCGCAGCAGTGCACGGGCAGTTCGCGGGCAGAGCGAGCAGCGCGCGGGCAGCAAATGCAGCGCGCTAGCAGCAGGGGCAGCGCGTGAGCAGCAGGCGCAGCAAGCAGGCAGGGCGCGCAGCGAGCTCGGGCAGCGCGCTTGCAGGGCAGCGCGATGCGCTAAGGCAAGCAGCGCGTGCAGCAGGCAGCGCGCTAGGGCAGGGGAGAGCGCGTGACAGCAGGGCAGCGTGACTATTTCGGGCAGGGCAGGAACGCGCTAGGGCGCTACGGGCAGGATCAAGCGGAAACGACGGTGGGCCCTAAAAAAAACGGTCCTAACCGGGACCTGCTCTGAAACCATGTCAGAACGTAAGAATGAACTAGTAGGAAGGGCAGGACAGGATTGTATAGCCTAACCCTAATGTGTTGTACCCTTTAGTGTATGCCCCACTACAGCCTACAGAACAAATGCAATTTGACAATCCTTGCCCAACGTCCCCGCCTAGCTAGGATTCCCCCTATTTAGTCTCGCTACTTTCATTGTATCTGCATTCAGTAAGGGCGCGTAACCATTTTGCACCCGACGGTTCGAACCGTGGACCGTCCGGGTTGGCGAAGGGTAACGGGTTTCGCTTGATGTCGTGAGGCTGTTCGCCAAGGTGTTGACGACATCTCTTAACAAAACTGTTTGTCGTGACACTTTTTCCCATTTTCAACGGTCCGGAATCTGAACAGTCCGATCCGAATCCCCCAGACTGTCCGACTGTCCTTGTACACGATTGGCGAGCGAAGTAAGAACTGTCGAGCCGCCTCGTCCACCAACAAAAACATGCGATGCGACTTGAAAATTTGACATTGACCAACCAGAGACAACCCATATACATCAATGATTCGACAACTAAAACTACGAACGGTCGTGAATCTCGTAACGTTTGTACAGTAGTCGCGAAACTGCACAGTTGGAAAAAAGTGTCACAATTGCCTTCGGACAGTCCGAAGTTGCAAAAAATCAAATCGGACGGTCCCGTTCTCGATAACCGGACTATCCGTCAAAATCGTAAAATGCAAAATGATTACGCGCCCTAATTCAGTCTCATTATTCGTTATTCTGCGCACTCTGCACGTTCATTCACAACACGAATCGTCACAAGACAAGACTGGACAGGTACCGGTACTCGTTACAGTAAATTATTTTCAGCTTGAATAAGAAACGCAAAATGTCAACTTCAATATTTTCACAAGCTAAAAGACAAGGGGTTACGGGTATTGTACGGAAGCACAGCTCTCTCCTCTTGCACTTTCCCTCGTTGTTGTCCATCCTTCCTTCTGTTCACCTCTTTCCCCGCACACCTCCCTCCTCCCTCAAAAAGTAATAAGGTGCCTGGGCAGAACAACAGACATCAACTTGGCGCACACTTGCATCTCAATCTCAGCCATACCACTAAGCCAGACCCATCACTCTGCCCCATTTCCACCCTCCCTCCCACTCCCCAACACCCAAAATCCCTACCCCTACACCCGCTCCTGCCCTTCTCCCTTCCCCTTCCTCTTCCCCTCCCCCTCCGCCTCCGCCTGCCCCTGCGGGCCTTGGTCGTGCGCCCAGGGGAAGAGCAGCAGGGGCTTGTAGGGGTGGGCGAGCAGGAAGTCATTGTTCACCACCAGCCGCACCGCCTGCAGCACGTGGCTCCGCTCCCGCCGAACCTCCTTCTCCAGCAGCCTCGCCAGCAGGCTCGGCGACCGAGAATCCCCCTGGGTGTCCCGGTTGCTCTGGTGGCCATGGTTCATCTGGCTCCTCTCCTGCCCTTGGCTTGCCCACCCGCCCTGCTGCCCGTGCCCCTGCTCGTCCCACTGTGCGTGCTGCTGCCAGTCCTGGTCAGCGACATGGGCAAAGGTGCAGCGAGCGCCCTTCTTGCAGTGCCCGCGCAGGAAGAAAGCACACACGTGCTTTGTGGCAGACCGCACAGCCTGCTGCGCGGACAAGCGGCTGTCAGTGTGGACCCCTGTGGGCTCAGCTGTCACGCTAGGAGCTGCCTTGCCTGAAGCAGCAAGCCCAGTGGCAGCAGTAGGCGCAGCAGAGGGCGCTGGAGCAGCGCCATCACCATCACCTAGTGGTGCTGTTGCCTCTTCCACCACCTCCTTCACTGACTGCCCCACCTCTGCCGCCTTGCCTGCTCCACTTGCTTCTGTTGCCCCTGCCCCTGTTGCTGCTACTGCCGCTGATGCTGGTCCACTGCAACTATCCTTCTTCACACCGCCACCTGCCACCACCACTCCTCCTCCACCTACACCTTCTCCTTTCCCCACTCCTGCTTCCTCCTCCTCCAATTCCTCCTCCAGTTCCTCCTCTTCCTCTTCCTCTAATCCCATGTCAACCTCTTCCCCCTCTCCTACTGCCTCTTCACCATCACCCCGCCCCTCCTGCTGCTCTGCCATATCACCACTCCCCTCTGCAGTCCCAAAACTCTCTTCATCCGACTTCCCTAGTACATCCGCGACCTTCACCTCATCTCCGTTGCCCAGCTCACCACCAGCAACAGCAGCACCACCACCATCAGCAGCACCAGTACCAGCACCAGCAGAAGCACCAGCACTACTAACATCCGCAGCACCGTTCACTCGGGGAACCTTTGCTGCCCTTTCACCCTCACCCAACCCCCTTTCTCCCTCCCCATCCAGCCCATCTTCTCCTCCCTCGCTCTCCCCCCGTTTACCTTCCGCTTCCTCGCCCTTCTTCACTCCTTCCGTTCCCTCTTTCTCCTCCATGTTAGCTCCACCCTCCTCCTGCTCGCTCTTATTTCTAACCGTGCTTATCTCCTTCATATCACACCTCCCACCTTCCTCGTTCTCATCACTTATCCTCACCCACTCCCACTTACAGTGGCCCCGCCCTTGCATGCCCATCCCTCCACTCCCCCTCCTCCTCCACTCCTCCCGCCACCCACGCCCCCCTCGCCCCGCTCTCTCCTCCCACCCGTCCCTGCCGCCTCCCCTCCCCCTGCCTCCCCTTTCCTGGTTGTCGCGCAACAGGTGCGTTGGAACTTCACAGATGGGAAGGCCCAGATTGGCCTGCAGGGCCAAAACCTCCCTTAGCCGCTGGAAGCGAGGAATGGATGGACGGAACACAAAGAGAGGGAAAGAACATGGGGGAGAGTGAGTTGACAGAATGGCGAGAGCAATGAGGGGAGTGAAGGGGAATGGAAGAGGCAAAGAGAGCGATGGGAGGGGCAAAGGGAGTGGCGGATCGGGACGTGGCGGAGGGATGATTGCAAGTTGCAAATCAATCCAATCTTGAGCAGCAGGCTGCAAGAGGGCACACAGTGGTGGAGGCGATGAGGGGAGGCGAAGTGGGGGAGGCGGAGAACAAGTTCAGATAGAGAAGCGAAATGTGCGGGAAGGGGAGGAAAACGGGAAGACTGAGAATAAAGGGGGGTTAGGAGGAGTTGGTTGGAGAAGACAGAGTGGCAACGACGGACAGGGAAGAACAAAACGGGAAACACGAGAAGGGGTGAGGAAAAAGAGCAGGGGACAGGAGGATAGAGGAGGGGAGAGTGAGCGGGGAGGAGCGGGGAGGAGCGGAGAGGGAGAGAGAGCGCGCACCTGCTGTCTCAACTTGCGGTCCTCATCCACCAGCTCGCCCCTCTCCTTGCGCTCCCTCGCCTCCTCCTCCTGCTCGCCACACATGCCACACATGCCACACATGCCACACATGCCACACATGCCACACACCGCATGCCCACAAAAAGGGTTAGAATAAGTGCATACAGCTGTGCATGCGTGCACGCACGCGGCAACAAACACAAACCCACAGGAGCTTGTACGGTGCACCGCATCCCCACGACCCACAGTACCCAACAGGCACGCATGCCAGGACTACCACAGGACTGCCCATGAGCAGCACGATGTGCTGGATCTTGCACTGCCATCAACCACGCCCACTACTGCACTACACCGTACCACACGTCCCACAGGCCATTTCCCATCCCCGACCACCCACCACCCACTTTCCAACGGCTGTTGCCCCTTGCCCACGGATCAACAGGGCACTTTTCACAGGCACCACCAATCGCCAGCAAGGGCATAACCAACACACTTCCATGCGTTCCCTTTCACCTCCTCCCATTACACGCTCCCAACGCTCAGCCCCTTGAATCTCCCCTCATTTCCCCGACCCTACTTGCGCGTGGTGGGGTGGGTGGAGGCACCTTGCGCTGCAGGTTGGCGGCGGTGGGGAAGTTGCGGCGGCGCTCGTCCACCCACTTGGCGAGCTGCTCGGGGCTCTCCTTCTTGCGGAACTCCAACGCGCTGATGGGGGGGTGGCAGGCGCCATGGGTGGCAGGGGAGCGGTGGGACACACGTGTTAAGTGGTTTGGGGGAGTGGTAAGTGGGCCGCAGGCATGTTGCCAGCTGCTTGGCGCTAGCCTTCTTGTGGTAACCAGCGCCCTGTGTGTGGTATAGGAGGGCACAATTTGTGGGGGGGTGTGAGGGGGTGGGTGGGGGGCGAAGGGAAGAGGCTGCAGCATGTGGAGACGGTGTACGGATGAGAAGTGTCAGCAGCACAGTCCTTCGCAACCCAGAGCCGTCGGCGCAGGGCATGACGCAGTGCATGGCAAGGAGGAGCACTGAGCACATGGTCAATCCTGAGCCCACTCGCCTCGTCTCGTCCCAGCCATGCCGTGGCCCGCCCCGCCCTGCCTGAAAGCACCAGGTCGACGAGCACGGTTGGCATGAAAGAGCGTGAGAGCGGCAGCAGAGGAGGCAGGCGGGTGAGAGCAAGTTGGCGAGCAAGCACTGACCGCTTCAGGCGAGCAGAAGAAGGGGCGTCGTGCACTGATGACTTGTGGTCCTTGAGCGCCCGCCCTGCCATGCCATGCCATGCCATGCCATGCCATGCCATGCCATGCCATGCCATGCCATGCCGTGACATCATCACAAGGCCACAGTGGCAGCAGCGAACAGGAGCGCAGATGGACACTCAACACAAGGCCGTCCCATGCACGCACAGCAGGTGGTAGGGGAGGGAGGAATGTGGGGGGAAGAGGGGCGGAAGGGGAGCAAATAAGGACGGGTATGGAGGGGCATGGTGGGGGCGGAAAGGAACAGGTTGAAACAGAGGGACGAACGGACGAGGATCGAGCAGAGTGGGGGGATAGGGGGAGAAGCGGGCGACCGAGAAGGGGGTGGTAAGCAACGAAAGGAGGAGCAGTGGGTTGGAAGAGGAGGAGAGAAGTGGGGTGTGGGGAGTGCGAGAGATAGAAGGTTTACCGCAGGCGGAGAAGGAGCAGCCTGGCGAGTCACAGGCCTCATGCGTGGCGAGATGTGCAGTGAGGAAGTCACGCGAGGAGAACGACCGGTCACACGGTGCACACATGAACGGGGACGCTGCTGCCGCCACTGCTGCTCCTCCTGCTGCTGCTGCTGCTCCTGGTGTTCCTACTGCTGCTGCTGCTGCTGCTGATGGTGATGGTGATGCTGGTGAAGGGGAAGTTGGAAGAGCAGCTACCCCAGGTGGTCCTGGTGATGATGGTGTGAGGGATACTGGTGATGGTGGTGCGAGGGATGCAGATGCAGGTACACCCACTGACGACGGTGATGCTGCACCGTGCATGCCGCCATTCATTCTATTGCCCCCCAATCTTCCCCTACCCTCCCCGTCCCGCCTACCCTCCCCCCACCCCCCACGTCCGCCCCACCTCCCCCCTTGCCCTCTCCCCCTGCCCTCTCTCCCCCCACCTCTTCCGTCTCCAAACCCCCGCCCCTCCCCACCTCTACCGCCACCCCAACTTCTCTCCCCGCCCCTGCCCCTCGCTCCGCCTCCCCTCCCTCCTCCCCTTTCCCCATCTCCCCACCCTCCTCTCCCCCCCCCGCCTCCTCCCCTGCCCCCATCCCCCCTCCCCCTCCATCCTGGCCGCCCAGGGGCGCCTGGCGAGGGAGGGGGGGCGGAAGAATGAGGGGGACCTCCGGCGACCGGGGAAGGAGGGGGCGCCATGGGCGGAGGGGCAAACGCAGGGTTCGGGGGATAAGGGGGGTTTTGAGGGAAGGAAGGCTTTTGGGGGTAGGGAACAGAGGGGCGGTGGAAAGGGGGAGTGGGGGCTTGAGGCGAGGGGAAGGGGACAGGGGCAGGGGGGTACGGGGAAGAAGGGGGGGGGAACGATTGTGGGGGAGGCCGGGGAGGGGCGGCGAGAATAGGTTGCATTTGCGGCTGCTGCTGCTGCTGCTGCTGTGGCATGGCAGGGTACGGGAAAGAGGACGAGTTGGAATTGGGAAGAGGAGACGCAGTAGGGTAAGACTTGGAAGGTTGATAGTGCTGCTGCGGCTGCTGCTGTGGCTGTTGCGGCGGCGGAAGCTGCTGCTGCTGGTGGTACTGTGGAGGGGCGGCGATGGAGGGTGGACCCACGGGTTTGCTCTGAGGGGTGCCCATTGGCAAGGCACCAGAGGTGGCAGCTACCGGGGGGCGATTTTGCCACTGCTGCTGCTGCTGCGGCTGTGCGTGCTGCTGTGGCCCTTGGTGGGGCTGTTGAAAGAATGGTTGCTGTTGCGGCTGCTGCTGCTGCTGCATACCCGGCTGCTGCCAGTGCTGCTGGTTCTGGGCAACACCTCCCACGGACGGGTAAGGGGGGCGGAACGGCGCACCGGGCGCGGAGCCAGGCGCTCCCCCCATGGGCGGAGCCTGGACGGAGGGGGGGGAGGGAGGATTGGGGAGAAACAGCCGTGGAATGCGCGCAATCCAGGGAACCGGCGGGGATGATAAAAAAAACAAAATAGTTTTAGACAAAGGAGAAACTACAAATTTGCATGCGCAACGGATTTGCGGAGTTCAACCACGGTGGAAAAGGCTCGTGCACGCAGCCGTTTGCGTGTGCATGATTTGCATCCAGCATACTCAACGTCGTATTCGTTTCACATCTCGAACCACCATCGTGGCTCCTGAGCGCGCGCTCGCCACCCGGCACTGCAAACTAGACTCCACTCGCCAGGTCAAGCTGCCCTCGCCGTCCGTGCATGCGTGCAAGCGAGCATCTTCGGATCTGGGCTTTAGAGAGGCTCACCATGGGAGGCGGTGCGGACGACCATCCCGCCGTCGTCGCCGCGCCGGCAGGCGATCCATACGTGCCCGCACCCCCGGCCCCGCCCGCGCTATTCCACTGCGCGGCCATACCGGGAGGTTGCCCTGCAGGGTACTGCGCGCCAATCCCGCCCGGCCCTGTGAATCCTGCGGCCGAACCTCCGTTTGCGGCCTGGTACGGGCCCGCGTACATCTGGTTCGGAAGCTGGTTCGGATACGGTTGTGCGTTGGTCGGGGGAGCAGGAACCATCGGCCCTTGCGGGGGCGGCCAGGGGTTCTGCATGGCGGTTGGTGGGGAACTAGTTGAGAGAGAGCAGCGAAGACCGGAATAGTGTGTGCCGATAATGCTGGTTAGGAACAGTGTGGACTCGCTAGGTTGATGAGGGTGGAACACGGGTTTTTGGAGAGGCAGCAAGTCAAGAGAGTGTGATGGTGAGAATCAGGGTTCGGGTTCTTTGCGAGGTTTATGCGTTTGGTGTTGGTCGTGCGAAAGCCTCGTTGTAACAACTTTCCGACCGCATGCAGGTTTTACTAACACAACCAACTGTAGTAGCATATACAGATTTCACACTTCAAACTGAACCCTAATGTACACAAACCGTACTTCGCTCTTAACCCACAATATAGTCAGCCATGTGCACACCTCCACTTGCACAATATAAATCCAATCCAATGAAAAGATCTCTGCATCCTTTTAAAGTTCCGAATTATCAGCTGTCATACACACTCCTGGTGCGTCCATCCATCCACCCCTTGCTGTGGAATCACCAGCCATGTCGACTGAGGGCAGCGGCCAGCGCGCCAAGGGAGGAGTCAACTACGGTATTCCAGGAGCGAGCCACACTGTGCCTGAAGGACGGCCCAAACAGCTGAACCGATGTCTGCACACAGCAACTCGCGAAATAGCAGTGGAGGGTGAGGAGAATCAGGGAAAGCAAGGAGAAGAGGCGGAGCGGAAGGGTGGGAATGATGGGATGAAAATGGGTCTTGCAACGAGCTGATTATTGGTGTATCGCAACCGCTGCTGCTAAAAAGAGAGGGAAAAGGTCAGATGGCTTCAGACTTGCCAGAAAACTGTGCCAGCTCAACAATTTATGCAAGCATACAGAAGTTCCGAATGAAGGTCTGGGACCCTGTGTGGCTTAACCCTCCTAGTAAGTCGTTCAGGTAGTACACAGCACTCACAGGGTGGAATGGCAGCTGCTCTGCCAATCCCATGCCTCCAAATGGCCGCATTCAGTCAAACAAGGAACACACTCAGCGTCGTAAACCATGGCCACCTCGGGGTTCAACTGTTGTAACAAAAAAGAAAGGGATACAGCAAAAAAAAAAACCTGGGAAACCAAGCATCCACCAATGATTTTCATCTGACTGACCTCAAGCGGAGGAGGTGCAGGCGGGGCGCTCTGGTTGGCCATGGCTCTTCCCGTGGCAGCGGTGCTTCGCCACACAGCGAGCTTGCAGCCCCAATACGCCGCCACCGCCGCCCCCACTCCACTCGCCATGCCCACCACCCGCTCCTGCCGCACTATCGTCGCGCCCAACCCCATGCCTGGCGCACGGCGCGGGCGAGGGGAGGACAGGGCGGAGTGAATGAGACCAGGAGAGGAGGAGGTCAATGTGTTTGGGGTTGGAGGGAAGGGGAGATAAGAGTAAGAGCGATAGCCCCTTGTTGCCCCCCCGCTAGCCCCTTGTTTCCCCCCTGCTAGCCCCTTCTTTCCCCCCTTCTAGCCCCTTGTTCCCCCATGGCAAGTGCAGGTTACAGCATGGAAATGGGCAGGCAGGAGGGAGATGGGCTGGCAGGAACGAGAGATGGGGGTCAAGGAGAGATGCTGGGAGGCATGCATGGGAGATGGAGGGATGCATGGGAGATGGAGGCATGCATGGGAGATGGAGGCATGCATGGGAGATGGGGAGGCAGGGAGAGGTGATGGGAGGCACGAAGGGGAGATGAAGTGCCCTCAGATTGGTATAGAGGCAGGGGGAGATGGGGCAGCGGCAAGGGGAAAGGGGGTGGCGGGGAGATGGGGTGGCGGGGAGATGGGGTGGCGGGGAGATGGGGTGACGGGAATGGGAGATGGGGTGGCGGCAAGGGGAGATGGGGTGGCGGGAATGGGAGATGGGGTGGCGGGAATGGGAGATGGGGATACGGAAAGGGGTGGTTGGGAGGTGGGATGAGGCGATTGCCGAACGGGAAGGGGAGATGGGGTTGTGGGAAGGGGAGATCGGGCGGCGGGAAGGGAAGATAGGGCGAGGGGAAGCGGAGATCGGGCGAGGGGATGGTGTGGTTGGGAGGCGGGAAGGCCATATGGGAAGGAGGCCGTCGCTCCCGCCTTCTCACCTGCGGCTGCGAGGGCTAGTCGGGCCGCCCTCAGTTTGTGCGAGGGTGCGGCGATGAGGTCGTGATGGGACAAGGCACAGCGGGGCCGCGCTGGAAGTCGAGGTGACACTGTCAGTGGGTTGCGACGAGGCCGCAAACGAAATCTTCGCGAGGCCGCTAGCGGCGAGGCGAGGCGGCGGACATGCACGTCACGAGAGTGACCATTCGCTGAATGAATGCGTATTAGGCGGCGCTGGCGCCGGCGTACCCTTCGGCGTATGACCTAAGCCTTAGAGGCGCACGGTGGTCGCGAAGAAAACCTAGTGGACTCGGTAATTATTGTACTACTCCTTTGTTTGAGAAAGCTTCGAGTGGGCTACAGCGCGGAAAACTGAATGAGTACACATGATACCCAACCTTCTCCCGGTAATTATTGTACTAGTGTTACTAGTGTCAAACGAGTACAACGTATGAGCTAATACTTAGCGAAAATGCAAACGGTAACGCGGTGCGTGCGAGCTAGCTAGTGCGATGCCGGCATCGAGGTTCGGACTAGTCCCGAGGCATAGGCCGACTCAGCCAGGCCAGCGATGCATGGTTTGGAAAATGCAGCGTACGAAGGTTGGCGAAGCCCTGTTAGCAGTAACGGGCGAACAACGGTTGGTCTTGTACGCAATGTTGAAGTACGCGGTAAGGAATGTCCCCTTACTCTACCCCCTCCCCCCCCCCCCTCAAGAAGCCCTTCCGCTACGCGAGTGCGTGTATATCGCGGAAACTGCGGCTTCGCAGGTACACTTGCAGGGCAGGTTGGTTCTCAAAGTTGGCCAGATGCACCCAGCTGTCCTCCGTGTGGGTGCGGTCCTTCCAGCGAACAAGGAACTCAATCTTCCAAATTCCCGTGGGGTGGCGAATCCGATGGCTCATATTTTTTTCGAGGTCGACTATCGGCTCCAATGCGGGACGCGTCATCGATGGCGAGCGATGGCGTGGCAGTGGTGGCAACGCATGGACGGAGCAGACTGACGTGGAACGATGGGCTGATGTGTTGTTATAAATGAAGGATCGCAGTGGACAGGATAAAGCTACTAAATATAAGAAAGAACTGTGAAGTCTCTGTAATGACCTTGTTGATAAGATTGAAAGGAACAAGATGATTATAAGATAGAAGTACAAGAGTATAAATAGCAAGCCTAGCTAGCCATGTACTCTGAGGGGTACATTCCCTTATTAACCGAATTGCATTGCTACAGTAACCACGACTATTGCCATTCTAGACAGTTACCACGTTGCACTTCGTAACTGTCTTGTGCGGTTACTGGGCGGTCAAGGGTCACGACCGTTGACTGTCTTCGACTGTTGACCTTCGGGTGACCCTCGACCTTCCGCGTGCTCTATATGAGCTATTGCGGTACTGATACAGGCGTGTACTTCGTTATGAAGTGACGCGAGAGTGGAGAACCTTCGGGAATGTTTATGATAACCTTTCGGTTATTCCAACACTCCCCTTCATTCCTGAAGGTGAGCCACGTGGGATTTCTTCGAGATCCCGCAGAGGTCGGTGCAGTGCTGAAACTTCTGACGTGGCAGTTTCTTGGTCAAGAAACCTGCTGCCATGTCACCGGTTGGGCAATAGGTGAGTTTGACCTTGCCCTTGTCGATCTCGTCCTTGACGAAGAAGTAACGGAGTGCGATGTGTTTCGTGCGGTTCACGAAGCCGTGTTTGTTCGCGATCTTGATCGCGCTCTGGTTGTCGCAGAGTAACGTGAAGTGGCCGTTCATCGTCACTTTCGCTTCTTGTAGGAGCTCCATCAGGTACAGGCCTTCACGAACAGCTGCGCTGGCGGCGATGAACTCAGCTTCGGCTGACGAAAGAGCAATGAGCTCCTACTTCTGGGAGTTCCAGGAGATGAGTCCGGCGGGTTAGAGTTGAAAAATGAATCCTCTACGGGAGCGTCTGTTGTCAATGTCTCCCGCGTGGTCTGCGTCAACGTAGCCGTGAAGCTGTAGAGTGGCGGTGAGATTAGCTTCGTAGGTGAGTCCGACGTCAGGAGTAGAGACGAAGTATTGAAGTGCGCGGCGTAGATCCAGTAGATTCTCCCCTTCAGGTCGCTTTAGGTACTGAGCGAGCTGGCTTGCGACGTAGGAGAGATCAGGCCGGCACGTGACGGCGGCGAACAGGAGGCACCCCAGCTGCTGCTGATAGAGCCGATGATCCTCGAGAGAGAGGGGCGTGGTTTCCGGTTCGTGGTTAGGGGGAGGAGTGCGAAAGGGGGTGGTGAGGTTGATAGGTGCGATGCCGAATTTCTTCGCGAGTGTTTCGGCATATTTGGCGGCGGAGAGGTGAATGGAGGAAGCGGTCTGGGTGATGTTGAGACCCAGGAATTGAGTGACGTCGTGGTTGACAGTGACCTCCAGCTGCTCCTTGATATCCGCTTCGAACTGGTCCAGCAACTCCGTGTCGTCGCCGGTGTAGAGGAGGTCGTCGACGTAGGCAACGAGGAGGATGAATTTGCCGCGCGACTCCTTTCTGTACATGCCGAGGTCGTGTGGCAGCTGTTGGAAGCCGAGCTTCGTGTGCACGGTGTGCAAGTACTGCTGCCACAGGCGAGGTGCCTGCTTAATCCCGTAGAGGGAATTCTGGAGCAGGCAGACCGCGCCGTCGTTCTCTTCGAAGGCGTGCGGTTGCTCGACAAAGATGATTGCGTCGACCGGAGCGTACAAGAATGCACTGCCGACGTCGATTTGGCGGAGTGGGCGCTGTTTGACGGCTGCGATGCAGATGAGGATCCACACTGAAGTGTGCCGTCCGACTGGTGCGTAGGTGAGATCGAAATCCACCATGTGAGTTTGCTCGAATCCGCGCACCACCCATCGCGCCTTGTATTTGTCGATGGAGCCATCCGCCAATGTCTTGATGCGGAACACCCATTTTCCGCTGAGAAATTTTCTCCCCTTCGCAGATGTCCGGGGAACGAGCTTCCAGGTTCCACGGCTCTTGAGCGACGCGATCTCCTTGGCCATGGCTGCCTTCCATTTCTCGCTGTCGGGGCCGGAGAGGGCTTGGCGAACGGTGGTGGTTTCCTTGGGGGAGGTAAGGCGAACAGCGACGGCGAGCCCAAGGATGCGGAGACCAGTTTCGTTGGTCTTTTCGTAGTGCAGGCGATCGTAGTCGTGGAAGCTGGATACTTCGACCACGTCGTCGTCACTCTCGTTGCCAGGACGGATGGAATCCTGCGAAGTGTTTGGCGGTGGTAACGCGGCATCTGGTGATTGGCGGGCGTCGCTGTTGTTGAAGGCCTCTCAAGTTGTATCATCGGGATCGGATTGGTGTAGAGGTATGAAGGTTGGAGTCTGGAACGGGCTTGTAAGGGGGATGTTGGGTGCGCTGTCAAACTGGGTAACATTTGCTGCATCCACATCTTCCGCCAGGTCAGCTTCATCGTGTGGAGTGGCAAAGCTGCGGTGTCCCTCAAAAACCCTTTCCGGTGCCCTGTCAGCTTCGCGGTGTTCGTTGAACAGTGGCAGAGTCAGCTTCTCGTAGAAGATGCAGTCACGTGATTTCGTCACTTCGTGTGTCGCGTAGTCCAGCACGATCCACGCATTGTATTCCTTTTCGATCCCGAGGTGGATCCCCCAGCGAGCCCGGTCAGCAAACTTTCCGGTTCTTGCTGTGTGAGGCCTGTACTGTACCATGCAGCCGAACACCCGAAGCAGGCGCGTGTCTGATTTTCTGCCCGTCCACGCCCTGTAGTGGGAGTTGTTGTTCTCGAGGCTTGGGGATGACAGCAAGTTGTGCAGCCGGACTGCATGGTTCATGGCGAACGGCCAGTAACGAGTTGGGATGGCCGACTGCTTCATCAGGGCCCTCATCCTGGTCGCGAGACTCCTGATTGTCCGTTCTACTACTCCTTGCTGCTCATGAGCGTAGGGCAGGGACACCAGGTGTTCAATTCCCTTCTGCCTGAAGAGCTCCTTGAATTCGTCTGAGAAGAACTCCAGGGCTCCATCCGTCTGCCAGCTCTTCAGCTTAAGCCCCGATTGTCGTTCAGCCCGCTTCATCCACGCGATGAAGCACTCAAAGGCGAGTGACCTGCAGTCAGTATTAATAGCCCAGATGTAGCGAGTGCTTGCGTCGATGAAGGTAAGCGTGTATGATTCGCCGTCGAGTCCCTCCTTCGTCAAACACATGAAGTCGCTGTAAACTTTGTCGAGTGGTTTGTAGCGTTCGTAAC